GTTAAAGTAACACACAGGCTTTGCAGAATTTCTATTAAAGTTGTGCCCTGCTTCCAATAAATATGACTTTAGTAGCTAATAAGATACTGTTTAAAAAAAAGCATATAGCTTTTGAAGGGTGCTTATACCTCTGTGTTAGAGTTTTCCTTGCAGAAATCAGTGCATGTTATGGACATGGATGTGTCAGCTTTATGTAATATACTTGGTTTTCTAAAAAGTTTTTGACAGAGTTGTGCACCAAAGTCTCTTAAAATCTAGCAGTGGACCTTCCTTCTTATCCTGTGATAGATCAACTTGTTTTAACTAGTTGAAATACAGTAAGTGGACAATAGAGATCAATTTTAAGATTTTTAGGTATATTAAGAGTGGTACCTTACAAGGATCTGTGTTGCAAGATCTGCTATTTATAAATAATCTGGAAAACAGAATGAATAGTGAGGTGACAGAACTGGCTGACACTAAGTTACTCAGAGTAGTGAAAACTAAAACTGACAGAAGAGTTGCAGAAGGCTTTCAAGACATTGGGTGAAAGTACAATAAAATGACATGCAGTTCAATACTGAGAAATGTCAAGTGATGCACACAGGAAAAATCATTCTAACTATGCATGCATTGTGTCGGGCTCTAAACAGCTTACTACTATTCTAGAGATCTTTTAGCATAATTTTTCTATGAAAATGTTAGCTTTATACTCAGTAGTGATCAGAAAGACAACTAGATTATTAGAAACGACTGGTAAAAGGTTGGAGAAAGAAGCAGAAAACATCACTATGCCACTGTTAGTCTATAGTGCACCCAGGCCTTGAATACTGAATACAGTCCTGGTCCTTTACTCTCAAGGAGGATGAAGCTGAATGAGGAAAAAAATGCAGCTCAGTGATGCAAGGAGAGACTGAATAGAAAAGAACTTCAGCTTGGAAGCAAGAGACTGAGAATATGAATTTATGAAGGGCATGGAAAAGATGAATTTGAAATAATTATTCATGATTTTTGTAGAATGAGAATGAGGGAGTATCTAATAACTAGATAGATACTTTGAAATAAACAAAGGAAGTGTTTATTCATACTTTTCATACTGCATGATTGGAATATGGAATTCAGTGGCATAGGTATTGCTCATGCTTAAAGTATAAGCGTGTTAAAGATAGGTTTGTTCAAATATATGAGAGAAGGCTAGTAAGCATTATTAAATGCAAAAATACACATACATCTTCAGTTTAGGAAGTTCGTAAATTTAGGATTGCTAGAAATTGGTGTTGCTTTATGCTTGATTTATTTCTTCTACTCTTTTATTGCTACTCCTTTCCTAATGTCAGAAACCAGATTACCATGTTTGATCTACGCTTTTGTTTTTTCCAGTACGTATGTATGTACTGAGATAATCCTTTTTTTTTGTACTGAGATGATACTGAGAGATGTGACTGTAATGTGTATAGAAGATTCCGTTATTTGTTTGCTAGCTTGGGTGCTGCTAACAGCACAGCCTTTAAATGTCATCATCACAAAATTATTACAATGGTAGCTTTGTGCAGTAGGGATTCATCGTGAACTGGACATCAGGCTATTTAGTGGGTGGAAGAAACCCATACTGGTATAGCTATGATCATATCAGTATTCAAACAGTCTAATCTGTTCAGGCTTAAAGAGGATGATTTCCTACTGTTTTTTATAAATCAACTTAGCGGTAAAGAAGGAAATAAAAATATCTGAACACCTTCACACATACATGAGATCTGATTCCAAGTAGATGTCAGTAGTCATTTAAAAGAAGAAAAAAGGAATCTTTGAGTATTCTACTGTTTGTTTCAGGATCTCTCAAAAATACTAACTGTGCTTCTGTATATGAAACTTACAGAAACGTATGTACTGCACAGGTGAATCTATTAAAATTCTTTTCATGTGCTAAAAACAATACTATTATATTTTCCATTCATACAGTCCAATTTATTGCACTTCAGTAATCATTTGATTAGTTCATATCCTGTTTTCAAATTTGTGTACACATTAGTAAAAAACAAAAACAAACAAAAAAACAGTGACCCAAATGGCATGAAGAGAAAAACAAGCTTGCAGAGTTAGGAAATATCCATTTTAAAATTCATGTACAATTTTAATAGTTCCTTCTTCCTTGTACATGTGCATTCTGGTACACTCTTGCATCACGAAATATTTTTCCATAAGATTAGCGCTTTGTTTAGTTGAGCTCCGCTCTACTACCAAACTGACATGAGGCAAATACCTGTGATGGAGAATTTCGTACTAAGTAGTCTGTTTGTCAAAACTGAGAATTGTGTCAGAACAAGCTACTAAAATTACTTAAGACCTAAAGAATGTGCTTTACAATGAGAGTTTAAATTTATTTAGCTCTAAAAACAGACTTCTGAATAGCTTAACTACATTCTCTGATGTGGAAAGACTATTGTTTATAGTAGATGAAAATGAAAAGATCTAAGTTTTGGAAAACTGAAGTTGCGTCATACCATTGAATACTGCCATCTTAATCAGTGACAGTCTGAACTGATGCTGATGATAAGTGATTCTTCACATTCTGAGTCCCTGCCTTGCTTCAGACAGTTAAGAGCTGCTTTTTGCCTTGTTTCTCTCTTGCAGCTTTAATTTACCATTTAAATGTGCCTCATCATTTGAGAAGTATTGCAATGGGTTATACTGTTTTTTTGACTGAAACACTTTGTGTATGTGCATTTTTTTAAATCCTACCTTACAGGTTTGTTGTGAATGATATACTACCATTTGTAAAGCAGTTTAGGAACCTCTGCTGCAGGAGCTATTGGAGTATAATGTAGTTTTATTATTGAACTTACTACATGTAAACTGAAAAGGCCATGAAATATTTCAAAATGAAAAAGTGCTGAGTACTAAATTGAATAATTATACATTACTGAATGATATGCTTTGTTTAAATGATGCCTAGAAGAGTAGTAGTTTAGTGCTGCTCCCTAATTTATTTTTAATCAGTTTAGAACTCTCCTTCCGTTCTCTCCAAAATAAATATATGAAATATCTAAAGTGGTATTTAACAGACAGTAAGAAGTCCATATTTAAATTATATCCTTCTTCCTTCCTAATTTTTTGTTATTTGTGATATGATCTTGAGTTGGGAAAAACTCTGAGGTGGTTCTGCTCAGGCTTTTTTTCTTATAGTGAAATCCTCAAAGATGGCTAAAAAGGTTTCTAAACTGAAAAAGCAGGTTTTACTAAGGTATTAAGTACAGTCCTTTTAAAGTTGAAAGAAAAATGATTAGGCAGTGACAAAATAGAAATGAAAAAGGGTTCGCTTCCTGCTACTAGCTCCTGAAATCTGGAAGCTTAACCCCCTAAGCATAGTCAGTTTGTTCTCACTCCAGAGAATCTCCTCCTCTGTCTGATCCAGTGACTGATCCAGCCACACACACAGGACCATGGCATAATCAGCCCATGCCAAGCAAAACAGATAGGTCTGTCATGCTCATCTTACTAAACAGCAAGATCTGTAGGTTAAGAACTTGTTTCTTGTATATATAGATAGTAATATGCTCCCTTATGTTACTTGCCAAATTCAACTAAAATTAATGAAGTTGGAGAAACAGAATATAATAAACTACTCCATTATGCTAATGAATGTTTGACCACTTTCTTTTTTTTTTTTTTAAGAATTCTTTGTAATCCCGTAACTGAAGCATACATAGCAAGGCAAGATTATTTACTGCTGTGAGTTCTAAATGAATTGCCTTCCCCATCCATGCTCATACTTCTTCATGCTGATGTCATTTTGCGCCACCTGCATCTGTATACTTTGAAGATATCTTGAGTGTGTGGTGTGTTTCTAAACCAGTCAGCAAGGAGAAAGATTCCATCAGAAAATCCAGTATAGCACAGCGTCAATATTGCTTGGGGGGTGCGTACAAGTAGAATGCCTCCTGAAGGAACAGAATGATATTAAAATATGTGGAGAACAACCTGCAGGTGGAAGAACTGTCATTTTGAAGAAAAAAGATCTGCAAAGTAGGGGAGACTGGCTGTCCTGAAATCCTCAGGAAGTGTTCTTTATTTTTGGTCTAAAGCCTGTCCTAGAAAAAAGATCAAGTCCAAGTTATCAAAATAAATAGTTTGAAATTATATTCAAATACAAAGATATCATTTTAATTTTTTACGTAATTGTGTTATGTTCTGTTTCTCCCCCTGTACTCAGATCTCTAGAGTATGTCCTAACTAAATTATATTTTATCAATGGCTTATGACTTAGCAATTTATTCTCTTAGTAGAGAGAATGCTTCTAATATGGTATTTTTGTAATATTAAATGCATAAAACTGAGTTAGTTTCTGATTTGCTGTAAGTTGACTTCAGATGGAGCTAAGCTGATTATTGCTATGGCAGATGATTAATCTGTAACTCAGTACACTCATGGATAATAGAGGAGCCTGGATATTCTGTTTTCATAATTCAAATCTTCAGCCTATACATTTAAATTTTAATGGAAGTCTGTGTACTACCAGAATGGCAGAAGCTAATGTTTCATCAAGACTGTCTACTAAGCTGAAAGATACTTCATTAGTGGTAGTAAGTGGTAGTAAGTCTTCCATGATATATTTCAACTGTTTACAGGTTTGTTTCAGAAGGATGTTTCTTCCTAACCTTATTTGATGATTAGTTTATGGATCAAAACATGATGATTAATAGACTAATATTCCTTTTTTCTTCATAGCTTACCTCTGCAGTGAATTCTATATTTTAAATTAAAATTCACTCTTAATGAACTGTATCAAAATTGTGAACTATTGTTTCTGTTTAAGTGCATTACTATCCGTAACTTTATGCAAGCTTACCAGAGAAAATTGAACTTGATGGCTTTATAAGTGTGATCAGGGATGAATTTCCATGATTGTTCATCCCTTTGGTTAAGGTCTATAGCAGTGGAATAAATGTAGATGATAATATACATCAGTTCTATTTTTCCCCTGTGAATAATCTAGGCTAAATCTTTCTGATTCTCTATTTTAGGTTGAAGATTGTATCCTCCCTCCATTAGTTTCCTTGGTCCGCAGTCAAAATGGTAAGTATGTGGCTACATCAACTACAGTTTCCATGAATTCCACATTTTGTTTTAATTAGACTTCAGTTTGGTCACGTTCTTGGCACCTTTATTTTCAAGTGGAATGGAGACTCTTCAGCTTGCGGTTGCTCTCAGAAACCACATCACTGCTTGTAAGCCACGAGGTCATGGCTGAGGAGAAAGAGGAGAGCCTCAACTCAAACAGCAAGCTTCTGTCTCTCATTAGAGACTCATTGCTGCCTCAGTAAGTATAATATTGCTGCTCTAGTGGTAATAACTTTTGATACTCAATCCATTTTGACAGTATATTTGTTTTAAATACCCTTTATTTTTGAATGGCAAAATGAAAAGAGAAATAGTAATAAACTACTGTCAGAGTTTTCTGCCCAGCATCTCTTTCCTAGGTTTATTCAGTACTTGATCATACATAACACAAACACAACTTCTGTGGGACATTGCTTTGCATCTTAGTGATTCTGTGCCTCTGGAGGGTTCTTGGAATGAAATGAGTTTCCCCTAGAATTTGGGCTGTGATTTAGATACCTCCTCTTTGCTCAGCTAATAAAGTCAGAACATTCTAACAGCAACATTTTTTCCTCTATTTTGGATATTATGCCCTCCTGGAAGACATTCTGAAATCATATGGAATAGCATGCTAACTTTTAAGAAAGGGAAGTACAGGCTGGATTAGTCCTCTATGGACCACCTAGGGGTTATTGTCTCTAAGTCGTATTCCTTTGCCTGCTGCCCCAAGCAGCAGAAAATCCTATAGTAGATTTGAGGAAGCTACAGCCTGTGGGCCAGATGTAGCCTGAACTTCACTTGTATGGCTTATGGTCACATGAGGCCTGTCATTTCAAAATTACTTGCAGGTGAGCATAAATGCTGCTCTGTATGTTATGCATATGCCTACTGTGAGCTGACACCATATGTCAGTAGAAGGAAAGAAAGCATACATACAGCATGAGTGTAGTTAAGATGAGCCCTCATTTATCTTTTGCATTATTCAAGGATAATGTTACAGTGTATTTTAATGTGTGGTCCGTAGAAGTTAGTAACTGTAAATACTTAGCCGCCCTAAGTAAAGAAAATGTCCTCCACCCCTACATTAAGTAAATGGTAGAAGGGTGGAGGAGTGGATGTTGGCTTATGATCAGAAGTACAGTGCCTCCCCAGAAATGAGACTGTCTCTCTTGCCAATTGCCTAATGTTCTTAAAATCTGAGGACCAAAGTTCTGTCCATGCAAGATGTGTAATCTTAACTCTTCTCTATGGAAGAGAACGGGGCGGAACACTGAGAGACCTAGAGAGAAGCTTAGTTCCACACATTTCTTCACACTTATCTTTTCACTGAAGAACATGGAATATATCAATGTGAATTAAAATTGAAGCTGGAAACAGGATTCAAAAAGAGAATATATGCATTATTAAAACCTATCAGGTGCTTTTGTTCAGATAAGGGAAGAGACCTGGAGTAGAGAGAGACAAGTTCTGTCCTTGCTTTGAAACTTGATTGATTTAACCCCTTGAAGATGTGTCTGTGTTATACCATGTTTCTCACTGAACTGAGAGAGGAGTCATGCTAACTCCAAACTAGAAGGGAAATGGCCAATGTGGTGCTCTAAGCTAATTAGCTCGCGTGAGTGGCAGGACTTTTTGGTTCTGATTGGGTATGATTCTACTTTTGGGACTTCAGCTGCTATCTTTACATGGATTGTGTTGTAAATGTGTAACAGAAGGGACTTGTGGTAGCTCAGGATCTTGATACCTGTCTTGGTTTAAATATTTCCTGAATCAGTTCTTTTGTTTCATCAGTAGAGATGATGATACTTGTATTTGCAAAGCACTTTAGTATTTCTTCATTTGAGATAGTTTCAAAGTTTATGATAACTGGAATATATTAGAACTTGGTATAAACAGAATTTTCCTCTAACTTAGGAGCAGGGAAAGAATATATAAATCTTCTAGTGACTTGGAAAGAGTTAACCAGTGTGAGAACATTTAGTACATTGATTGAACCTGTAGGCTGAGCCACTCTTCCTAAATATGCTCAGCTGTGGCAAGTAGCTAATCAATGAAAGAAGGCACAGATGAAACAAAAAGCAGAAGAGGAGTTCAGGGTTTTCTGCCAAGAAGAAAATTCAGAGAAAAGACCAAAAGAGAAAGTCAGAAACTCACTTTTGACTCAAAACTTTCAAAGCTCAGCTTTGAGAAAACTTGAAAAGAAGCTAAGAAAAGAATGGAACGGTTTCTTTGAATGTCAAAAAAGACAGGGAAGGTAAGTTTTATTCAGCAGCGTTCCTGGTATGGATCAGAAAGTATCAACGGGAGCTAGGAACGAGTTCTTATGTACACCCTACAGTTCTCAAAACAGGCTTTATCTGAATATATAGGGGGGCTGGCCTACACCTAGACAGAAAAGAAGTCTTAGGACTTTGTGTAGCCTGCAGCTAAGTATAACATAAAGCACCAAGAAGTAAGAATTACCACTAACTCTGAGACAGAAAGTAGAGTGACAAACTAGCCTGCATTTGGAGGCTGAGGAAGTATTTGTTATTTAGTCTTCTATTGTTGGACGAAGGATAGGACAGAATATGATGCAGCTTGAGTTACAAGAGGAGAGAAGGGATGAAATGGCTGTTTGTATATGGCAATCTGTGTAGCAAAACAGGTATTTCAAACCCTTTTAATCCTGCTTTTTAAGAACTGAGAGTTGTTGAGTGTGGAAGAGATGGGTGTAATACATGATGATCTATCTAAGGAAGATTCTAACTGAACTCATTTGTGTGTATGTTTCATACCTATAAATATTTTCCTCAAGTTGATTTATTTAAATGTGAAACTGACTTGGGAAATGCAATTTTGGTCACTATGCATGAAATGTAAATGGGCCCCTCTGAGACAAATGTAGGAAAAGTTGTTACTGCTTTTGTCTCATCTTCTGCATCATTCACAAAAGTGGTAATTCCATTAACTTTCTGATCTACAAATACACAGATATTTAACTTTCTCACAGGATTTTGATTAAATGAAATAGCGTAATTTCAGTTCATTTCACTGAAAGATTGTTTTCCTGAGCATTTGGTAACCAAAATGAAACTTTCAGCTACAGAAAAAGAGTATGTTCCAAACATTTTCTGTTGCATAGAAACTGAACTGTCCAGATTTTTTCATCAGAAATTCAAACATCAGCTCTATTTCATTTATTTATTAATTTCTCAAATGAAAAAAAAAAATCCCCTTTTTACATTCTCCTTTTGCTAGTTCTGGCTCAAATTTTAAGTGATGAAATATAATTAGGAATATTACGTAGTTTGCCGTTACTAGACTGCCAGGCCAATTCTGTAAGAACAAAATCCTGCATGCTTCAGAAAGCAGTAGATAAAATGTTTAGTCTTTTTTAACTGCTTAAGAGAGTTAATATCCTAAAATCTTTAGGTCTTCTCATCACTGCCGTTTATGGAAAAGATTGATGAAATAACTCCTTGCAGTGTAGTATCTGGAGTTTACTGAAACCTTTTTGCTCTGTCTAAAACTGTTGATACTAAATTAGTTTGTGTTTTGAAGTGACAGGAAAATCACTGGATCAACACAGTCATTTTAGTAATGACTCTAAAGCAAGGAGTTTTTTCCCTTTCCAGAAGATGCATAGGTTCATAGCTCCTTTTGGCCTTTATTCATACAAATATTTGTATTACTGGCTATGAAAATAACATTCATTTTAGTAATTTGTGTTTTCTCTTGTGGTATCTGGTTTAATGGATCACTGCACCTTTGCTTAGAAATACCCTTTACTAATATTATCTTTGGGGGAAAAAAGGAGTTTCGGGTAAAAGGAAATAAAGTAAGTAACTCTTTGTAGTGGACCTCATTTAGGGAAGATAGTGATGTGCTTATAATTAGAAGGAAAAAAGTATGTTGCCAGTGCCACGTTTTTAACTTAGTATGGCCAAATCATTAAATATTAGGAATTATAATTTTGGAGAGATAAATCCTTGTCTTATGAGCTGATGACTTCTGGCAGCTAAGTCATTTTAAAAGAACTTTGCTTGCCTCAAAAGTTGTAGTTGTGGATTCTGCAGAAAATGTTTGTGAATAGTTCCATTATGTTTAGGAGGAGTATGTATTGCTCACATGTAGGGCTTGCAGGATCAGGATTTAATAATGTGTTATGATATTTTCTCCTTTTATGCAGAAAGGGGTTTCTTAATCACAAATGAGAAAAAGAGTTTCCTTTCAGGAATTGGAATATATTATTTGTAAAGGAGAAACTTTAATCACTGAAGACGTGAAGCCAACATTGAGCTCTAATTGGTTAATAATTTAGATTCTCTGGTGCGTTAGTGATTTGCGGCTCTAGGACAGCATGTTCAAGTGAATATGCAGTAGCAGTGACACATTGCTTGTAGGCTGTGGGCCCACGTGCGTGTTAGTCTCTATGAAGGAACTTCTGTCAGCTACGTCAAGAATCTCCGGAGCTGTAAGCACTACCCTCCTGTTCTTAGCGTTATCCAGATCAGAGACTTTGCTAGAAAGTATCAAATCTCCTTTTGTACCTAGGTTCCTTCATGTGCAAACTAGAGCGCTGAGGTGTAGTGATGAGGGAAAGATGATGGTGAGGAGAAGGGATCCTCATCCCACTGAAGAGCTAGCCGCACAGTAGAGTACGTATCAACACCCAAGTGGTGGAAGGTGATCCAGGAAGGTTTCCCAGGGATCCTTGCTAGGCATGTCAAGATGCAAAGTAAATTTTTGGTGATTTGCATGGGGTTCTCCCCTGATCAGAAGTCAAAAGACAAAATTAAAAAAACCATGCTTTGGAAGCATTTTGGTGCACAAAACGTGCCTACCACGTTTTCCTCCAAATCATGTTTTTCCTTTTTACAAACCAAGGGATTTATGTTTCCAGTTCTGTTACTTCTGTCTGTGTGGAATAGCACTATTTGTAATAAAAATGATATTTTGACATGAATGAATCTGTCTTTTTTTTTTTATGCTTACCTCTTCTTTCTCTTTTTCCATCATTGTATCCTATTGTCCTCCAGGTATACTTTGATTTAAGTAATTAAAATATAAGCAGCCCTGTTTGTTGCTTGGGCATTATTTGAATGTTGGAAGCAACAGCAGGTCCGTGTTAGTTTTCAGCGGCCTATTTTCCCTTACCAAAATTTCAATGAGGTGAAAAATATTTTGGAATATTTATAGATATTTTTCTTGTAGTTTTATTTTAAATTCACTCACGTTGAATAAACATTGATTTGAAGTATTTTTGTATTGTTCAGTTCCACGTTACTTGGAGGGTGGAAGAATGGTGCATTTAAAGCAATTTTTAAAAATTTGAAATGAAACATAAAACTTAACACAAGTATTTTTGTCCAATTTAATTATTTTACTTATACTAAGTAAACAAAATATAGAGCTCAATGGCATAAGTCAGTTTCCAGTCTTTCTGAGCTCCCATTACATCATCTGCGTAATATTATTTTGAGGCTTAATAAATAAAACAGATTTTTTGTATTTTTCCTTGCCTCTTAAACATACGTATGTATTACTGCTGTGTTCTTTTATTAGTATTACTTTTGAATTAATCTGATGCTGTTTTTTAAATACTATTTCTAAATAAGTTTTGTTTATTGCTTTGCACAGTTCCAAACAATATTGCATTTCCATTGTGTATGCTATGGTATTTGGAAAGGATGTGTTTTTAGTATCTTCAACTTACTAACACCATCTCTTGATTTTTCTTTTTTCTTTTTCCTTTTTTTTTCCCCCCCTTTCCCTCTGTTGCAGGTATGAGCACATTCTTATGGCTCCTGATCCAGTACCAGCGTATGCTCTGAAACTGTTAGTGGCCCTGACGGAACAGAGCCCTGCATCTGTCAGGTGATAGAACCACACGTGCTATGTTCAGTATTCTCTTTATTTCAGTTTAGTTCTCTTCGTTTCTGTTTAATTTTTTCGTTGGGAGTTAACAGTAACATAGATCTAAGTGCTGTTCAAACTGGTGGGATAGTGAGGAGATTTAGCAAATGAAAATAAGGCTCATTTGCTTTGCAGAGTATTTATTGCAGAACACACCTTCAGAACTCTTGTGCCATCTTTAGATGGCCATAGTTATTTTATGTTTTTTACCGCTAATATTTCATTGGGCTAACTCCATGTTAAGCATTTAACTTTTTTTTATATTTGCAATGATAACTTTAATATTAAAACATTACCTAAACTGTTGTCCTACGAAGCATATTTATACTACAATAAAGGTGATGTGTGTGTGTTAAGCACTCAATTAACTTTGAGTTGTACCATCTCTCTGCAAATATGGCTGGCTAGCCTTTTAATGTATATTTGAGTGTTTGGTATACAGTATGGTATATTCAGTATATTCAAACTTTTTTTTGTTTGTTTTTAGTTTAGTATCTCTTTCCTGTTGTTCCACATAAATTCAGGATACCTGTAGTCACCTGTAGTCAGGCTGTGGTAGACAAAAAGTGACACAGAACTTAAACTGCGTTTAAGTTGCAGTTTAGCTGCAACTGGAGCTAATAGGGAAGCACATCTCACACGTGTGTTGTGTGCACACACAGCTATTCCTTTCCCCTAATCGTTGCCCAAGTCATAATGCTAAAAAATGTAAGTGAAAATCAGGTTGTTCTTGCACTCACTGCTGTCTGTTGGTGTTTCTCACAGTGTTATGGCTAAGGAGTCACTGCATACCAGACTATCTTGCTTTGATTGATCAAAATGAACGCAGGATAGAAAACATATCAACAAGGAAATTCAATTTATTTCCCACTATTTTTATAATAAAAAATGAGGACATTCTCTCTTCATCTTCTGTAGTGCTACTGTGAGCAGTGCTTTCATATTCTAAGTAGATTAAAAATAAACTAGAAAATTGAGGAGTTTGAGATTTTGAACAGTTTAAATACAGTAAGGGTAGTACTTAATAGTATTTTTATTGTATATAATATGTTTATGCCATTGCAGGATTATCTGTATTATGCAAACATAGTATAATTTTCTCTTTTCAGAATAAATCTACTGAGATCCTAATTCTTTAAGAATTTTGATAAACTATTTCTGTAACTGGAGCACCGGGTATTATGATAGCACTCTTTCTCTGCCTAATGAATTCTCTTTATTTGAAGAATTGCGTGTGTTTGCCTGTGTGCTTAATGTAGCTAGATTGGGGATGCAGACTCACCATCATAATCTGCTTATAGCAGACAGTAATTTCTTTTTCTTAACATTGTTAAGAGCAACTTTGGATATTTATGAGCTATCAGTAATTTTAAATACCAGTATATTTGGTACTGTTATTTAAGGATAGACTGCTAGATTCTGGGTGCTAAGACATCTGTATTGTCCTATTTCTAACATGTCTTACTGGCCCCCTTCATTTACTTTCACAAAAGAATTTGTTTGGCTGGATTTCTGAAGGAACAAAGCTTATGCGGTTCTGCTGGTCTGTCTTCTTCTTGGTCCTTTGGCTTCCCAACAATTTTTGAGGCATTGGCTAATTTCAACTCAAGTTCAACAGATGGTTAGATAGTTGAAAGGTAAACAATATCTTTCACAAAGGCTAGTGAACTGTTAGTTAAAGGAGCGAAACCAGATAACTGCTATCACACTTGATTCTGTTTTGGCTTGGTGGCTAATTAGTCATGGAGCTCAGAATTGCTCACAGCATATGCTCTCTTTTGCCTCTCCAGTTGGGAACATGGGAAAAATCTTCAATTTTTATGATTGAGAGAAAATAGGTGACATTGCACACACATCCTTTGAGTCTAGACTGCATTAAATTTTTTCCTTGTGGGAAAAACTCTATATGATCCTAGCGATGAGGGACACTTCTCACTAGGTCTCTGTTGTTTGTCCAAGTTTGTTTCATCCATAGTGCATGGCTTTCTAGGATGAACGCTTTTCTCCTGTGACTTAGATAACTATAACAAAGGAAAAACGGTGGTAATAACCATTTTGCCATTTTACAATCTGTTTAAATTAATATTTAGCTCATTGCTTCCACATCTTTCAAAAATAGCACTCATTATTAACCTTACTTTGAAGTAGCAAAGAATGAATGGCAGGAGGATGAGGTCTCCCATGTTTTAGTTTGTACCAGATGGTAGCTTCTTCTTGGACATGTCCTAGTAATGCTTTTTTCTGCCTATCTGTCTATCTTTTCTTTAATCTTACCATTTTTCATGTGTCTCTTGCCTTCCCTTTTTTTTTTTTATTCTTCCCTTCTCCTCATGTTCCTCTCAATAGAGATATCAACATTTTAGAAATTCATACTTTAGAATTTGAAAAGGGAAATATGGACTCAATCCTTAATCTTTTCTTTGTCTCTCTTTTTTTTTCCATGGCTAATTCCATAAATCAGCTAGCTAATTGTAATACCAGAGGAAAAACATTCAATTTTTTTCTATTTCTTGATGCTTCTTTTTGTTTTGTATTACAGCTAATTTGTTCTATTTGGCAGCAACAGATACTCAAAAATTATTATATTTTAATGTCTTAGAAGCTTATGGTAAAATACTGCTAATGCACTATATGTATTTTAAATGCCTTAAATAACTAACAATGGATTTGTGAGACTTTTCATCCCTTTAAAATGAATATCTTGGCTCTTCCTCTGTGCATGCCTGCCAATTCTATCCTTCAGAATAATTTCTATTTGTCTGGTTTAGGATGTCTGTAGTACCCCAGATTTTTCCCTTGCCCTCAATCTTTTCTTGAAAGTTAATATTCTTTAACATCATACTTGCTGTTTGTCAAATCTCCGCTCTGAAAGCGGTTTTAGAGAGGTGGGTACGTACTGCAGTTAACAGTTTGGCTATTTTGTTCTTGAGTTCCTTTTGAGCTCTTGGGTGAATGCCATCTGACTCTGGTGATTTGTCACTGTTCATTTTGTAGATTTATTCTATAACTTCCTTTCCTGACACCTCAATTTGAGGCAGATCATCTGATACATTCCCTACAAAGAGAAGTGCTGCTCTTAGAACCTCCCCAAACTTACTTATGATAAAAATGGATACAAGTCTGCTTGTTTTTTCCATTGGGAACTTATAAGGAGGACCCTTATAGCATGACCAGGCCTTACAAAAAGATTTAAGCACTTAAAGAGAGATTTTTGCAGAATTTACATATTTGCATATATTTGTTTATTTAAAAATACATAAATATCATTAGGGCAGAGCTGGACTCAAAATCTCCCTTTATCAGATGATGAGCAAAAAAGTTAGGAGACAGGAGGCTGGGGCTGAAGAAAGAGGTTGGAGCCTTTTAAGCAGAAGCAGGGGTTGAACCTGGGTCTTTTTTACATTTGGCAACCATTTAAAAAAAAAAAAAAAACAAACAACATCACCCTTAAATCAAAAAGTAGCCATTGCCTGACACCCTGAAACCGGAATGCGTACTGATATATAAACCTGGAGGAAAGGACCATTTTAAGCTTTCAGTGATTTGTCTTGACTGGATCAGCCAGATCCCTGCACAGTGTTCTGATTATTGTGAATCCTATTTTAGGCACTTATTCTCCAAATATATCATACAAAGATACTTTTTCTTTTTAATTCCTCATGCAAATCCAACTCAAAATGCTTCTATTCCCAACTTATTTCTCTACATAACTATGACTTTGGGATAGCAGACCATTAAAAATCGTAGAAGAGAATAAATTAAATAGATCTTTGTTTTATTAACAAGTTTGGGAATTTCATATTCTTCCCAGAAGATGGTGGTGGTCCTAGTGGTGCCAGGTATGACTGGATTTAGGAAGTTGTCTATATGTGTGGTTTTCTTTTTGTTTGTTGGTTTGTTTTTTTTTTTAAGGAAATCTTCAGAGGTCTGAAAGATAAACTTATTACTGTAATACTGGATGATGGAACTCTACCTGGTCAGAATCTTATTAAATAAATATAGATAAGGTTATTTTGTAGCTATATAATAATGTATTTAAATTATTTTAAAAGCTGCTTATTTTAAAGAAGCTTCGTGTTTACCTGTATTTTTTTCAGCTCGGGACAGAGTTGTTCTTGTATCTTCTTACTTTCAGTAACAGAATTTGAGTTTGGATTTGTAGCAAGTTCTAAAATACGTTCCAATCTCTTCCTTAGAGACGCTGCGTAGAAAGAACAGCAATGATCACACATGCGAGCATTGCAGTCTCTTCTGCAAATTAAATGCTGAAATGTTGATCTTCATTTTCTTATTTTCTAGTTGGATACAATAACTGTTGAGTCATTGGTTTTCTTTTGAATACAGCAAAAATACAGTTTTCCTTGATCTTCAAACAGGCATTGCTTGAGTTTAGTTGAGAAGTTGTTAATGTGCTGTTGGCCACAGACGCTAGAGTTGCCAAAATATATCATTGCAACCTGGCAAGTACTTCAGAAAATCATATTTAAAAACTGTGCCAAAACAAAATGTTTTAGGATCCCTAAAGGATCTTAAGATTTACTAGAACTTCATCTGTTCCATTTGTGATAATTAGTGAACTTCATCCTTAACCTGAAGATTTTTATGAGCCATAATACTTTTTAAAATCAGTTTTTAAAGTAATATAACAGGATTATAATGAAAACCTTTTCAGTTGTCTAATTTCTGAATTTCAGGTAATAGGCTTATCAAAAAGTGAAATCATCACTTGAACATAATTGAAGTTCACTGTTTTAATTCATGTGATACACATTTCTTCATAAACTTTCAGTAAAATAATTTTTATAGACATTTATGGGCATTCTAGGGACATACTTAAAAGACATATTTCACCATGGAGGCTTATGTTTCTTTTCCACAGAACTATTATTTCTTAAGATATCCCTATAAAGACCCCTTTGCTTTCCGTTCTGATAACATGAATGTTGTTAATCCTCAGTTGTTTGGAAAAAAAAAAAAAAAACCGGTCATATTGTATTTTCTCTAAACTAAAAAAATATATATTTCAGTGAAATATCAAGAGACTCACTGACCTATATACAGTGAGAGGAAGTCTTTAAAATTTAGAACATGATCATGGAAAACTTGTTTAATCAAAAATGCAGTTGGTGTCCTCAGTCTATAGCATTAAAAATTAGTTTCTGACATTTTGTGAAGGATTGTATAATATGTAAAGCAACGTATAGTTTTCCTGGGTCGGTTTCTTAGAGATAAGTGTAACAGAAAAAATACAGATTATCAACTGTGCATCCATACTAAAACGTGCCACTGCATGAACTGAAATAAACTGTGCTGTGTGTCATCATTGCAACATTGGACTATTTTGCAGCCCACAGTAGAACCGAATAAAATTTATTATGTACAGAAAGCTAGACTCTGTGTTCAGAGGCTAGAAAAAAATAAATATCTGATCTCATCAGAAAAGATACTCTTGTAATTTTGATGATACTGAATGAGTTAGGAATAGCATTGCATATTACTTTGCATTATAAACCTAACACTTCATAGACAGTCCAGTCAGAGAATTAGTCTATCCCTTCTAGCTTGTCAACAACTATATGAGCTGACGCACCAAGAATTTAAATCTCAAACCCTTGATGTCAGAATGCATGATAAGCAAGGAAGAAATAGGACTGTTGAAAAGGGCCAGGTCTAAGAGCTTAAGTCTCAAGGTTTTAGGAAATGAATTGCTCTGCATTTTTATGGTAGAAATTTAGCATGTTTTCTTTGACTAGGGACCACCTGCCACTGTAGGTACATGCATGTAAATCCTACCTGTAAGAGAGGAAAATTGCAATATGTCTTGTATTTGAGCAAACAACTTATTAAAATGTTTACTTACAAAGAAATATCTAAATATGAATAGTTCATTGCTTGACTTTTGTTTAGACAAATGAAGTAGTGGCATTGTTTAATTGTTTTGCAAGTGACACAAGATGGGAAGTTGTATTGATTGCACTGTATATTTTTTCTAACTTTCTGTATTACCCAGGTCAAATACATACACCTAAAATATTCATCCCATCACATTTTCAACAGACAAGGAATTCTGCATAGGGAACAACGTACAGATATCAATGCCTAATAAGTAAGGAGCTAGTCTAATCTGTCTCCTCAATACTGCCTTCGTTAACCTGCACCAGAATTATTAATGTAAGGAGTCAGTGCAATGCAGTATAAATTCATGTTTTCATATAAGATACTGCCTTTTGCAGGCAAGTGCTGAGAAACAAAGCTTAAACTCTAGACCCGAAGTCATGTTGTAAGGCACCTACCTCAGTAGGAAAAGTAGGTGCCTGGGATTTTTCATAAAACATGCCTGTAACAAAGGGCTTTGTTTTGTATCCTCTATAAAGACATAGGCTTGCATTTTGCAAGAAGGCAATTTAAGATGTCTTAGGAAAATAGTTATTGCATGTTATTTGAAAGCAGAAGCAGAGGCTTCATCTCCTCCTGAAGAATGTTAAATATTCAGATCATACTGATGTGAATCTTGTAAAATCAGATGATCAGTTACATTGAACCACTGTTGGTTTTTTGGGTATGGATCTGAATGCCTGAATGAGGAAAGAAACCTGTGAGTACTTTGATGTTTAGAACAATAATTTACATGTACAATTATGTGTATTTTCCAAACACATGATAGGACCTAAAGTAATATAATAAAAAAAAGTATGGAGTACAAAGTTTCTTTTCTTTTTGAATATGGCCATTCTATAAAATGAATTCAGTAGCCAAACTCCTCTCTCATCAGCTTTGAGACTTTTCCTTGTAAAACTCTTTAAATGTCAGGTAGCAATGGAGAATATGATATCACTCTTTCTTGCACGCATACACAAAGTTGGGATAAATGAGATTTAAGCTTTCTTACAGAAATGTCTTAATACATGTGTTGATGTGACCTCATACTTCAGCTAAGTTATATGCATAACTTTATTTTAAGATTACAGCTATTTCTTGCTTGAATCATAAAAGTTTGCAGATGACCTTTAAGGCAGGCCATTTTGGCTATGGGTTTGTCTTAGCTTATCTCAGCAGAAAATATAGATAACTTTGTAACTCTAACAAACATGACTGCTTAAAGTATTTGAAACCAATTGTGTTACTCTTTTTCGCAAAAGAGTTTTTTGAAGTTTTGCCTAAACTAGGATTCCTTAGCTATTCCTGGTATTCTATTGTACTTTACTGACAATTTGTTCATGGATTAAATGCTGCTTACATGGTAAAGTAGGCAGCTTTTCCCAATTTAAATAATTCCAGTATGCCTCAGGCATAAGAAGTTTATGCTGGTGAAACTGAGTTTTGTCAACATGAGTACTACTACATTAGTTGCTTTTATGAGGAATCTATGGTATTTAAAATGGCATTTATTACATCTGGGATTGATATACCTACTTCAGCAAATTCTATATTACAGGCATAGTCCAAGTTTTTAATTAAAGTGGTAGATTTGGCCATGGAAAATGACCTTCTTGTAGAAAGCATTTTCAAATAGCACAGAACTGCCATAATAACTCTTCTTTCTATCTGCTGTCCTGGGACTCCCTTATGACCTGACTGGGTCCAGATTGCCATAGAAGTCTACTTAGGTGTTGACGGGTGGCTTGGAGAAGATCAGCTTCAAGTTACCCTAACCTATGCAGGGAACTTGCTGGGGCTTCCCTGGCAGAAGGGTATTTTTTTTTCATCAACTTCATTAACACCAAAATTTGTTCTTAAATTCAGGGTTCTTGGATGTAATACTTTTTTTCCTTGTATAATCCTTTTCTCTTTCAGAATATGTTATATTGTTAGGTGTAACTTGTGTTTTTTTTTTTTTTTTACACGTTTCAGTATGTAAGAAAAATTGACCGCATCTGGCTAAACAAGGCTGTCGCTTAGCTGTGTTAAGCATGTTCATATAGGTGCATACAATTACATTGTTATGTTTTGAACCAGTTAGTGGATGCATTTTACTTGTTTCTGGGTGCATTTGCCACAACTGGTGCACCTAATAAATCTTGTTATGATAGAAACAAGAACAAACAAACTTTTGTATAGATTCCGTATGGTCAACATTATTGCATTTCAGTGACTGGAGTAAGTAGAGAAATGGCAAAATAATATGGAATAAGAAAGCATTTATATTTAATGTGCATATGACTTGTAAATAATTCTCAGTTCTTCGTAAGTATGGCTGTTCTGTTGAAAAGTATGTGTTTCATTCTTTATTACCTTATTATGCTTCCTTTACATAAGATTTTTATTAGCAAGTACGATTAATTAGGGTTCTGATAGAGTATGTGATCATATAATTCAGTTTGTCATCATAGTGTGTGACGCATTTTATTAATAAATGTAAAGCTTTTCAAGATTTAAGAATAGAAAAAGCTGCATAAATTTGTAGTATTGTTTTTGAGAATATTCATCTTTCTTTTATATTTGAAGGTGTATGTCTGATTTTAATAGGAAAATATAGCTGTGTTATTTTGGGTAACCTGAATACTTTCAAGAGAAGTGGCTGGAAATATGTCATTATGTCAAATATTAATATGTTAAAACCAAGGAGATAGTTAATGGAGTATATATTAACAAGCAAAACACAGCATATTTATAATTTCACTTTATGTATTGTGGGTCTATCAGTTCAAATTACTTTGTGCTGTACATTGTTCCATAGCCTATATAGTATTGTTTCTGAGTTTTAATTAATTTCTGCCATTTAAAAAATATTAATTTACTTACTGTTCCATTCACTTGCATCACATCAGTGAAGCAGACCTAGAACTAATTTCTAAAGTAGTATGCTGCTGTTTCTATTTAATAGCTGAAGTGAAGCTCATTTTTTTTGAGAGCTAGTCAAAAGCTGAGGTTCTGCATCGTGGATTTTAACAACAATTTCTGTGCTGCTCTGCTCCTTTTGTGAGTTTAGTGCATTAAATAAGAATTCACCTCTCTTTTTTTAAAATAATTTTTAAAATATGTTTTTTCAGCTTTATTGAAGAAAACCACCTTGTTGCTGTTCTTTTCCAAGTCATCTTGGTAAGAATAAATTTTATTTTTTACATGTTTTAATATATGTATTGTACCTCTCAGATCAAGGCATGTCAAACTTTAATCAATTTGATAGACATGTTTATAAATCTTTGGTAAAATGAAATTGAACAGTCTATCAATACAAAAGAGTTTAGTGTAGGCAGACATGTACATGGTTCTTGCCAACTATTTATCTGTGTAAATACTTTCTTTTAGAAAGACTTGTCTTTTTTGAACCATATAAAAATAAAAGAATTATTTCATATGATATTTAATTAGAACCATATATTTGGCCTACTCGAGTGACAAGCGCCAAAGAACATTTGTTTTATTTAACAGTATCAAACCAGAGTTTGATTGCAATGATAACCACCCCCCCTCGGCTGCTCATTCATATGAAATTTTATTTCAATATGAGGTATCAAGGATGTTATTTTGGACAATAACATGCTGAATTTCCATCACTATGTAGAGATCATGGGGGGAAAAATGGTGATGGGTTGCAATTCTGTAATGATGAGGTAAAAAAAACATGCTAATGAAGAAAAATCTGTGAGTTTGGAATCTGGGTGCTGTGCTATCTACTAGCCCTCTCATTGATAATTTTCAGGATCTCTTGTGGTTTTTTTGTTTTTTTAATCATTTTTTATTCATGAACTTGTATCAGGTAAGTGTTCTGTTATGTAAGCATGCTCTTCATGAATATTAAATATCTGTGATTTATGCAGTGCAGGCAGATTGAGTACTTGTTATTATAGAACAGAGTAGAACACATTCATAAATGTGATTCTGAATCAAGTTTGATTTTTTTCCTTTCTTCAATTTATTTTCATCTTTTCTCTTCCTTTGCAGTGATTTATTTCACTGCCCATTGTTATAAATCACTTTAAAACCAGATATTCAGATAAACCTTTTTAATTAAAATTGCCTCTTTATTGATGAGACTTTTCCAGTAGCATACAGAAAACAACTTTTATTTTATTTGATGTACATATATGAATGTAAAAATCTGAGAAATTCTTCTTTTGACAGGTATTAACAATAAAAACAACATTTTACAGCATTTCTTAAAGAAGTAGTATTGATTGAAGTGGTGCTTATAGGTAGTCAAATGTTTCATGCTAATATCCTCAAGTACCAAACTAATGTTTGAAACTTCTCCAAGTGTTGGAATTTTGGAGATTTAGTGCCAAAAATGATTAATATATATTTTTAGCTTAGTAGGTAGCTTTGAGGATGGGGATGGTCTCAACAAATGAAGTCTAGAAATCTGTCCCAGATTTTGAAGAACTTTTTATAACTTATCCATAGTGATGGTATGTGAAATGTATGTATGTTGTGGTATGTGAAAGTAGGATAAGTTGGAGTCAGCTCTAACTACTCCTCCCCAACCCCCAGTGCACACAGTTTGACCTCATGCGTACTAGAAATAGTTTTTTAGAGAATAGAAAGTACCTAAGCTGAAAACTGTATGACTGTTAGTCCATAAAAATTCATAGGTATCTTAAACCTGTGTAGCTTTCTCGGAGCTTATGGTTAAAGCTGTGAGAGGAAAAATCTTATCATTTTTAGAGAGGAAAAAAAAATCCATTTTCAGCATGCGTTGTTTTGGGAGAACTCATGTCGTCATTTATCATGTATGGCAGTTAAGCTCCAACAGTACACTGGCTACCAACTGCGATTCTGGCTGGCCTGAGGGATGTGACTATCCCTAAATGGGAGTGCTACCCTCCTTACTATTCTCCTGTTTTCACTACAGAAGAGTACATTCCGCAAAGGAAAGATGGGCAATTGGGAAGGCTCGGTAACTAGGACTAACCAGAGGATTGGCACATTTTGGTTTTGGAGCCACATGGGTAGCAGTGACTTTTACCAGCAGGGTCAGACTAACTAATGGAAGTAGTATGCCTGCAGGTAAATGAAAGGAGAACTTCAGATGCAGGAAAAAAAAAAAAAAAAAAAAAAAAAAGACAAGGGAAAACCAAGTCCCTACGTGCAGAGTATCAAGAAGCAGAGCTGGGATGGTCATAGTAAAATGCTTGAATTATTTGTGATTTTTGGAAGTTTGTGTAGCAGATAATGTTTTGTTTAGATGTGCCTCCTTACATACTTGAAAGAATCCCATTGATGAGTATCTCTACCTGATTTAAGTCCAAAGGTTCTCTAGAAGATTATTCTGGAAAAGTTATTTTCTTGCCTATTTTATTCCAGTCAGTCAGGGAAGGATCCTAGAGAGATCGACATCCTATTAATACATCTGCCCTTTTTTGGCATAGGGGTTAGATAGCTGTTCATGTCATATATTTTTTCTTTATCACCTCTATTTTTCATAAAAAAGAAAGAAACTGATTGTAGTAAGCAACTCCTTCTTTTGTGATCTTGAAAAAATAACCTGTCAGCTACAGATGAGCAAGAAAAAAGTATATTTTCAAGAACTGCATGTGTGGGTACCCTTATGTAAGTATATGCATAAAGTATTCAGTCTATATAAGAAAAGATTTGAGTGTGCGAATTAGTTCCCAATGGCTTATTTTAAATGTTACCATTGATTTGAAAATTGCAGAGCACTATATAAAGCCTCTGTGTGTACCAGTGAGTTAGGTATTACCCACTTTATCTGAAGAGCTAGTAATGATGTTAGGAGCAAAACTGTTGTCTCTCATTTCTAGTTTAGATCTTGTTCCTCTTAGCAAATGACATTATGATAACGTAAAGCACAAAAGGAGAAACAGAGCTTGCTTAAACTCTAAACAGTGTTTTCTGCTTTCAGCCAGCTAGTTTTTTTGTCTCATGCAGTTCCAGAGCAAATCTGCCAAAACAAGGGATTTCTAGTGTCATCATTTGCAGAATTGCTTTGCGCATTTTATAGTAATTTTACAGCAAAAATGGATTTTCTTAACAAGTCAAAGTGCAAGAGACTATAGAAGTCTATTAACTTCTGCTTGAATTGTCTTATGTTTACTGCTAATTATTTGGCTCTCAGAGGTGAATGGACTTCTCTAGCTGCTAGAATTTGGACTTCAGTAATAGCAAGCCCTCATACAGTGCTTCCAGGATTTGCTTTTTTGAGAGCTTGCTCCAAACTATCTGTTTCTCTTTGTTCTCCTTTCAAGACAAGGACTCTCCAGTTGTCTGTAAATGACACATTTTCAAATAGGTACCAAGGGAAAAAATGCATAGCTTTGTGTCGCTAGTTCTTGTACCTGAAGTCAGTCATGTGGAGATCGCTTTTCCACATTAGCCACTTCTACTTTGCTCCTGCAGTCTATTGGTTCTCTTAAACACAAAACCAAAAGAAACACAAAACCACCATTCCACATGCACAAAGGTCGTATGGTGATGGTTCAATCATCACGTTAGAACAGGAAGCAGAAGTGTTTCTGTTCATCCCTTTCCAAACCCATCTGTAAAGTCTGCTACAGTAACAGCATTCATCCAGCATTCAACTTCAGTATTGGGGTTCAGTAAACAGAAGCCACAAGAACTTGGAAACCTTCACATATAAGAAAAAGTTCATTTTGTATGTTCGCTCATTCTACTCTGCCTTTGTGCTGACAGGACATGTGAGATGCTAACTAGCACTAAACATCTGTATTTATGGCTCTGATGGTGTTATGAATACCTTTCCACTCAAACTGAATGGAGACAGCAAGCTTTTCATATATACTAAAAAGCTGTCAAATAGAATCTTTCTTTTATTATCAGCTTAGGCTGCTTTCACCTGTGATAAGTAGGGGAGAAGAGGGGAAAAATAGAACCCTTTATTATTGAGCCTTCAATGAGACAACATCCATGCACTTTTCCCTCATACTGGTGATGGAAAAAATGGAGGCAATTCTTCTGGCATTCAGTGAAGCAGAACAATATCAGAAGAAATATTTGGATTGCATGTGTCTGCTAAAGGCTGCTATACTGGATTACTATTTTTGATTAAACTTAATAGAAAACTCTAGGGATTGTACTTTTTCGTTTTTTTTTTCTTTTCATACATATTAAAATAGCGAAATGTATGCATTTTTTCCAGAACAGCAAATGTTGTCACAGTTAACTTGTAAAACCTGACAGATAAAAACAACTTTTATAAAGAGAAGAAATACTACAAAAAACAATGAACAGCTGTAATGAAGAAAATCTAGTCCTAGTTAGCTTGAGTGTTTTAGATGAGATTAAGGAGGAATTTGATAAAAGCAAAAAGAATGCAATAATATTATGCACCAGAAGTGTGTTCTCATGACTGGGGCTAAAGAATCCCAACACTGGAATGATAATCATTAGGTTCCTTTTCCTCATGAACAGAACAAATTAACAAAACCCATTACCATAATTTTATAAGATCATTTTCATGGCAATATGAGTGAAGGGAGCTGAATATTAGTTGGTTTCCATTACTGTCCCTAACCTAGTCTTCGGTCATTTTTGTACTTCGATCAGCTTGAGAAACAGTGCAGATTCAAAGCATTGAGGTTTGTGTTGTTTTACCTAGAATTTTACCAGTCCCTAATCTATTGAATTTAAATTGTTTGAGCATCTCTATGCTTTTTAGCTTTTACAAAGCAAAATGAAGGTATGACTGCAGTGTAAGTAGATGTTTAGCTAGCTATAATGTCTAATGAGGTCAGTAAAGATGTAGTGATCTGTATCTGCATATGTTTTCATATACACAAAAAAGGAGGCACATTTGGCAATACATGTGATTATATACGGAGCAATATGAGATTGAAAAACAGAAGGAAAACTAACATAATAATGTGTGAAATGTAAATGGTGTGAACTCTCTCTGGTAACAAGCTTAAAAATAATGAGCATGATTCCATGATCATTTTACAAGTTACTATAAGGTATAAACATAAAATACAGAAGTTGATGAAGCAGAAGAGATGGTATCAGGAAAAATTACTGTGGGGTATGTTGAATGTTATACTTGCTCCTTCTTTTGCTACACCCTTAGTGTTCTATGGTTGTAATATTTTGTCTTTGTACTATCATACCTATTTATATAAAAAAAA